GTGTGTGTGTGTGTGTGTGTGTGTGTGTGTGTGTGTGTGTGTGTGTGCTGAGCTGCCACTGAAGGAGTCTGAGGTTTGCTGGCACTGAAGAGTGTGCAGCTGCGCTGTGGTTCGCTGCTGTTCGTGTGTGTCAGAGTTAGTGGGCGGAGTCTCACCCTTGCTCCCTTGGCTGGGAAACACTGACAGGTGGAGCAGTCCCGCCCACCACATGGCTCAGACAGGTCACCCTGGAAAAAAGAGAACAACAATATTACGTGACATCACCGTGACATCACTGTATCATAATAAGACATCACCTCAGCTCAGCTGACGCCATCACTCAGAGCTGTGACATCACGTCTGAGGTCAGCGGCCTTTGGTTTGAAAGATGAAGCAAAGGAATCGTTTTCCTCTCTGATTCTCAGCCTGTCGCAGCGTCTCTCTCAGCACAGTCTGAGAACCTCTGAGCTCCCGTGCTGGTACATCACTGTAATCACTGTAGTTGCAGTAAAGACCAACAAAGAGCAGCACTCGTGTTTATGCTACGCACCAGGTTACAGGAGTCGAGGCACAACCATTCATGAGAGCAACAACATAAAGCAGGCTTCAGAGGCAGGAAGGAATAATCTGGTTCAGCTTGTACCTGCAGCTTTGTGTAGCGTCTGAAAGTATTCATCTCCAGCCCTGAAAAAGATGCAGTCCCTCCGACGTCCAGCAGAGGCTCCAGCAGCGTGGATTGCTTCCTGTTTTTATAGGCTGGGGGGGACCTGCTGTTAGCATATCACAGTTTGGGCCGACGACAGTTTCATCCAGCACATCTGTCTCTCATCTTCATCATCTACGGATTCAAAAGCCCAGCCGAAGCATCCACTCAGTGTCACTCTTCTGCCATCACCTCGTCACTCTGCAGCATTTAGAGGGATTTGTCCTCTTCTAATCTTTTCTTCTAGTACTTCTTAAACGCTACTTGCTGTAGCTTCCTGTGATGATCTTCCCTTGAGTCCCTGATTTTGTTGGTAGTTAAACTTGATAAATACTGCATGAGTGCGCCAGAAAGGGCACATCTAAACCCGTCATTAGTTACCTTATCCCCTCATTTCCATCAGCCGCTTCTGGTAAACATCTGGAAGAACGTGCAGCTGGATGGCTGAAGAACGGCAAAGGAAGGCTGAAGTGAAGGTCTGTATTTTTGGGGCCATCCTTGGTGTTTGTGCCCATCAGGAAATGTGGGGTTACTAGTGGGCGGAACTTACAAGACTCGCATCCTCGCTTGCAACTCCCTATTTCCATGCTTAGCTCAGTTTTTCCAGGACCTCTTACCTTTCCAAGCCTTTACAGATTCCAGTGCGTAAAAGAGCAACTAGATGATGCAATTAAGCCTTTGGGAGTTCCTGTCTCTGCGCTCAGCTGTGTGTCCCATCAAACTGAACCTCTTCAGCTTGTGGTCTCAAGTTTCACATTGTCTCTGCTCTACTCCGTCTTCTTGGCTTAAACACAGAAGCCACACATCAGGATTACGATGCTGTTAACTGAGAGCTAGCTGAGGAGTGGAGGCGCTGGTTACAGGAGGATGCCTTCATAACCTGGACTGCTCATAAAAATCTATCCTCCTACCTCCAATCAGCTTAAAAGTTCAACTCCCAACAGGCAACAGGTAACTACTTTCTGCTAGGTTCAATTTCATCATCACCTACCACCCTGAAATATAAAACCTGATGCTCTGTATCTACAGTTCCCTCTCAAAGAAAATCTGCCCACTGTAGAACCGAATCTTGGTGCATCGTGAGCACTGAACACTCAACAGAATGAAGCTGACCCAAGGAGCCCCGGTACAACCAGGGAACCGCCCCCTTGCTCAGGCCCTGTGTTGAAATATTCAAAGTGTTATTACTTGAATTACTTGAGTTCTTCTTGAATAAATAAAGAGTTAAACTGACATTGGTCAACTGGGTCTAAGTCAATAACATAGTATTTGTTAGAATGAAAGGACTCAACCTGTTGTGTGCTTTTAGACTTGGTTTCTGTCTATTGATGCTCCGACCGCAGCACTGTTTTTATTTTCTGTTCAGACAGTGAGGAATGTAAACACAAGTCAGACAGAAAGACAAGCATCTGAGATTCTCAGGAAGCAGACAGCTGACTGTGTGTGTGTTTATCAGATCACGTCAGCGACAATCACGCTCCAATTTTTCCTGACCGATTCTTTCAATGAGAACAGATGTTCAGATGTTCAGATTGATGTGACAGAAAAGGGAGATTTAAACTGTCGAACAAGCCAGAGGCTCGTGTTCCAGTGCATTTACAGACACGACCTGTGTGCTCACAGTTAGACGTGTAAATAAACGTGTAACCTCTGTGACATAACTGTTGAAGCAGTACAAGTGCACCTATAAAAAGAATCGCACCTGATCTTCATTGATCTTAATAAATCGCTCTGTGACCAACCTGTGCACCTTTTATTAAACTACGTGGTTTGAAATTGAGCTCAAATTCAAACAAAAACTATCCTGACTACAGAGCAGCAATATGAACTTTGAGCAATGGGAACACAACCTCTGGCAAACCAGTCTCAGGTGATTCAGAGTTTCACAGCACAGTCAGGTCCATTTAGCCAGCTACATGGTTGCTTTGGTCATTTCGCCTCTGTACACACAGGAAACTAATCAAAAACATGCAGACTTTCACACTGAAGGTCTGAAAAAAGAAGTATTGCAATATTATTTTAGGAGCTGCAGTCATTTCATACACAGCTCCCCATTCAAAGGCTCAAAAGTAATCGAGTAGTATGGACACAGATGATGATCATTCCCTCATTAATGCATAGAAAATGAATTCAGTTCAATTCATTTATTTATTTATGTGGCACAAAATCATAGTTGCTTCAAGGTGCTTTATACTGAAATTTAGACCCTGCAAGAAAACAAAAGATCCAATATTGTTTGATTCATGTGTTTAACTCGACTGCAGCACTTTAAATGAGTTCCACAGAGACGCTAACAAGAATCCATAAACATGTTTGCAGTGGCAAATCTACGATCTGGTCCATCCTTTAAAAAAAAAAGGATCACCCTGAGGTTTGTCAGAAAATGATTTGAGCTGAGATTTAGTCTCACAGAAAGCTGCTCACAGCTGGCACAGATTTAGAGCCTCGCGTCAGCTTATTTGCAGGGTCAGATGAAGATGTGTTAAATAAAACACCCGATTCTACATTTACTCATCAAACTCAACGGAGCCTCCAACCCAAAGCAGAGACACAACAACAACAAAACTCCGGGTTCATCTCCGCGTGGCTGGCATGGATTTCACAGCCCTGAGGTTTAAAGCAGGATGGCTGGGGATGGTGAGAACGGTGGGATGACAATATCGACTTTGGACCCCACCCCACTTTAGACGGACGTCAGTCTAATCAATGCGTTTACGTCAATAAACTTTAGAAACACATTTTTTTCCTTAATAAACTTTAATTCCACTCAAAATAAACTGCTGGAATTTCAGGACCACGGACAGCAACTGAGGATTTCACGGTGATTGGTGCTCCAACAGGTGAGTGGAGGACGTGGTGCTGCCCTCAGACGCCTCACTGACAGGCCCTCACGCCAGACTCTTAAACACGTGTTTGTCAGGTTACATGTGCTCTTAAAGCCTCGGACTCACAGTCTCTGTGCCTGTTTGAGAAAATAGGGTTGATGCTATCGGCTCTATGATTGGCCGATTCTTGGACTTGACCAATAGCTGCTCTTCTACAGTGTAGCGCTGAGTGTGCATAAATCCACTCATGTAAGCTACTTTGTTGTTATTTATAAGAGATATTAGGGAACATGTGCAGATGAATAGCTGCACTTGTATATATTGTCAGGCTTGCATAGTAACCAGCACAAGGTCGTGAAAACAATCTGTACATGTTTCAAGAATATTAATGTTTCAATATTCCATAAATACTGTTTATGTACATGTGTTCAGTAAAATAACAGAGTATCTGTGATATTGTAACTTGGTCCTGCTTTAAATTAATTTTTTGTATTTCAGGCCTTTTATGGTCCTCGCTGTCCTCTAGTTACAAACACAAGCGGTCAACTGCACGCTGCAGTTTGCTTTTCTGTTTTCTAATTTGTGATTTTTATTGACAGGACGAATACAACCAGAACATAAATAAGACTGAAAGGCGACCTCACAAACAATACGCACAAACCAAATAGACTGAATAATCCTTCTGTCACTGCTACCTGAGCCAACGCTGCAACCTTCTGCATTTCTTCCTTGACAAAATGAACACAGTTCGACACCATTCAGTCAAATCGCCTTTAGCTAGTTTCATACCCAGCTGTCTGATTGTTTTTCACCTCACTGTCCTTATATGGCATCACTTTGGCCTCACTCTTTGAAGAAGCCTTGAATGTCGAGTTTTCTTCATTTATGAAAGCCAGTGACACAAATCAGTCGCACAGCGCATGTCATAAAGACAAAAAGACCCGGATGTCCTGGTTTTCTGTCCTGCAGACAGAACAGACGTTACCATCCTGGACACCTTGGACGGCACAGGCTAGTATTTACACTCTGACATGCTTTCATTCATCTTCTTCTAGCTGCTGCCTTTACAGGTCACCATGTCCCAGAATCCCCCTCTGTCACACCAACCCTCTTCACCACATCCATCAATCTTCTCTTTTCCTGCTGCCTGGCAGGTCTATCATATGCACATGTGCAAACGATCTCAGGCCCTCCGACTCCCCTTCATAGACCCAGTGAACATCTGAACAGCTTCAGCTCTGTAACTTCAGCTCAGTCCCTTGCTTTGTTGACCCTCTGCTCCTTCGTCTTTGCCTCTCCTTCTGTCTCCGTCTCATTCAGACACATGTATTCCGCCTTCTTTCATTCCTCTTCTCTGCAGGATCTCCTCCAACTGCTCTCTGCTCTCACTACAGATCACAGTGTCATCTGCAAACATCATAGTCCACGGATTCTGAACTTACTGGTCCACCCATCTGTCCCTCACGCCTCGCCTCTGTCCTCATACTGCAGCACCCTCATATACTTCCTAATGCAGTAGCACAGTTCCTCTCTCAGCAACCAATCACCTGCTTTCTCTGATCTTTCTCTGATCCAAAAAGACACGGTGACACTCCTTCAGTTTGCAGCAGATGGCCCCGCCCCTCCCTGAGCCTGGTTCTGCTGGAGGTTTCTTCCTGTTAAAAGGGAGTTTTTCCTTCCCACTGTCGCCAAAGTGCTGCTCATAGGGGGTCATGTGATT